CCCGGGCCCAGTCCCAGTCCCAGTCCCAGTCCCAGTCCCAGTCACAGCGGCGGCGCTTGCGCACTGGACACCGCGGGCGGTCTCCACCGCGGTCCGGACAGCTCGGGGCGTCCTCTGTGGGCAGAAGGGGGAGCACGAGAGCCGCCCGGGGAGATCCGTACCCGGATGAGGAGCGGCCGGTTTACTCCAGGAGGTTCGTCCCGAAATGAGCTCCAAAGCAAGGGTCCCAGAAACGTCTGAAGGAGCGTTTTAAGGTTGGACTGTTGTGCATTGGACATCAAACCCTCAGGTACTCTGCCACTGAGGTCCATTCCCAGCCACGTTTTTCTTTGACTTTATTTCATCTTTTTATTTTCTATTTCATTTTGAAACAGGGTCTTGCTAAGTTGCCAAGAGAAACTTAAAGTTGCAGTCTTTCTACCTCAGCTTCTCCAAGTGCTGGAATCACAGGCCTGCACGGCGCCCCTCAGCTAGGGAGAGACAGATTCTTTGCAGTCTGCTTCCCAGCAAAGGTACAGACCAGGCTGGCCGACGCCTTTCCCTTTTTGTTTTACTTCTAATTGCCAGAAACCTGCTCAGAAACGTGCTACTTTACCTCCTTGGTACTGCTTATCTCTGGCTTTTTATTAAAAGTCATGTGCATTTGAAAATACTTCTCTGCCCATTTTTAAATGTGTTTGGCGGATGTTACATTAAAGCAAATCATGATGACAGCAGTTAAGGTGAGCTCATGGCTCACCTTGCAGTCCAGCCTTTGGGTCAGAGGTTCTGATTTTATATCACTCTTGGAGTAGTTTAATCAAATAATTGAATCAAAACTTCTTTTCATTCCAGTTTAAGAGACTTTTGTCTGCACTTCCTAAGTCAATCACCCTATCTTTCCTTCATAACTCTGAAAATTAATCCTCTCATTTGAACTCGAATCATTTTATAGTAATTGAATAACTTTCCTGCTGCTTTAGGTAATTAATCAAAGTTCTGTATTTAAGTAGAAAATTGAAATTCATGAAACAGGTGAGACTTGCAGAGACAAGATTAAAAGAACTTTAAACCTGAATACTTTTTTCCTTTAATGATATGTACATTCGAAAATATAGCTTACTCCTTGGACTTCTACATTTGTTTCTTGAAAGAAAGACCTTGGAGGGATTGGTAAGAAAGGGACATGTTTTTTGTCAAAAGTTCAGTTAAGAAATGGCACAGAGTTTTTTTTTTTTTTTTTTTTTTTTTTTAAAGTTCTTTAAATCACAGTGGGGATTATTTGAGTCAGGACATAGGAGAGAATGGCAGGATGAACTCTCTAGGATAAATAGTGAATGATAGACGATAGGTATTTATTGCATATCTAAAACATATTTAGTAGTGAAAGCTTTTTAATCTGAGATGCTTCCCGACACATACTGCTGTGGCGTTTGCAATATTCAATTAATTGTTGAGAAGGAAGAGCTTGCTTTGTTTCCCTTAGATAATTTCAAAGTACTGTTTTACCATTGTGTGTTATCTTCGTTACTGTTAGTGTCTATCTAGAAAATGGAGACAATGATTATATCTTTTCTGAAAAGGAGATACAGGCCAAACATCATTCCAGCAGCCACCAAAAGTAATTTCAGACAATAGCTGAGGTTACTGTGAGGAGAAGATGCTGCAACACAAGATTTATCGTCGCCTCTGAGATGCACGGATTTCTCTGGATTTTGGATGAGAAAAATAGTTGAAAGAAGTAGAGCACGCTCTTTTATACTTATTGTGAAATAATAAAATTGATTCTAAAGTTCATGTGCGCAAAACGTGATGGGACTATCCTGTAGAACATTTGAATTCTTAGCGTCTTGATTTAAGTGATTTTAGATTTACAGAAGCGTTACAGCGATGGTGGTAGAGAGTTTCTGCTACTGTCCACTCAGATTGCCCAAATGTTACTATCTTACAAAACCAAGGCATATCTATTAAAAAGAAAGATTAACATCAGTGCAATATTATGTTAGTATGTAAACCTTGTGTGATTCTTATGGTTTTTCCATCAGTGCCTTATTTCTAAGATTTGATCCAGTGTACTCTGTGTTGTTTCGAATGTCTCTTCCGCCCTTATTTTCATGCAATTGACAGTGCTGAAGAACGCTTGTCAGCTCTCTGGTAGAATGTCCTTTGTTAGTTTTTATGATATTTTCTCATGAAAAGAGCGGAGCTGTGGATTTTTTTTTTTTTTTTTTTTTTTTTTT